GAGGCCACAGCCGGAAGGGTGACCGGGGGCAACAGGCGCGTCCCGGCCCCGGGGACCAGGCCGGGCGAGGTGAAGCCCCGCGGGAGCCGAGCGGCCAGGGGTGCCGGAGAGCGCGGGCAGGGTGCTGTACGCGGGGGACCTGGTGACACCGGAGGTGGCAGAGGCGGAGGCGTCACCCCGGGCTTTGGGGTCCCAGCACCCCGACCGGGGAAAGGCTGGAGCAGGGACGGTGTCCCCCGGGACGGGGATCAGGGCAGGGAGCGCTGCAGCAGCCCAGATGCAGACGAGTGCCAGGGCTCGACGGGACGGTGCAGGCGTGCCACGCCAGCTGGCAGAGTCATCCACTGTGAGCCATGCTCGCTGACCTGTGATGGGCTACGGCGATGGTGGAGGTGCCGGACGGCTGCAGGAGGCAAATGTTGCCCGCGCCACACGCAGCCGGTGCCAGCGCGGGAGCAGCTGAGCCTGACAGCGGCGCTGGGGCCTGTGAGGCCTGTGGGGAGCGTCGGCTCCGCGGTGGCCGCCCGGGGACAGGGACAGACGGACGCCATCCGACCCGAGGCCGGGGGCGGAGGCACGCAGATCGCGCCGGCGGCGGCAGAGCCGCTCCGGGCCGCCAGGGGCGGGGCTTTGCGGGATGGAGGGCGTGTCCATGCAGATCAGGCAGGGCGCGGGCTGGCGGGACGTATCACCGTGAGAAGAAGACGCCGGCCACGGGCGTCGCAGGAGCTGCGTGGCGCTGCGTGACGGGCAGCTATGGGGTTTAGAGCGATTGGTGGGCGCGGGTGTGGCGCGGGAGTGTGGGCGCGTGTGTCCGTGTGTTAGGAGTAGGTGGTGGTGCGTGCGGCGTTGCCGGGCGTGAGGGGAGGCATACTTACCTGGCAGGGGAGACACCATGATCAGGCAGGTGGTTTTCCCAGGGCGAGGCTCATCCCCTGCACTCCGGGTGTGCTGACCCCTGCGATTTCCCCAAATGCGGGAAACTCGACTGCATAATTTGTGGTAGTGGGGGACTGCGTTCGCGCTCTCCCCTGATTTCGAAGTAGCAAAAACAGACAGTTTAGCAGTTTTTACTGACCGCACCGATATTATGTTTTTCTTGTGATTGTGCTGAACGGCCATAGCCGAACTCGGGGGTGTGCCCTGCGTCGACGGACCTATCCAGCCCTCCCTTTAGCCTTCGCGGACCACGACCCACAGCAAAAGACAGCCCCCCGTCGCGTAACGCCTTCTCTCTCAGCCACCTCTATCTTTGCCACAGGAAGACCATCTCCTGCGACGCCCGTGGCCGGCGTCGTCGTGTAACGGGGATATGTCCCGTCATCCCGCGCGGTGCCTGATCTGCATAGACACGCCCCTGACAGCCCCGCCCCGCGTATTCGCGCTCCAGATCCTGCTGAGTCCCCGCTGCACTTCCCCGCCGCACGCCCGCAGTGCAGCGCGGTTTCGGGGCCGGGGTCCAAAGGAGCGGCGGGGGGCTCTTCCCCCGCGGAGCGGGTGGGGAAAGGGGGCGCCCCCAGCCCTGCGAGCCGGCTCCCCAGAGCTGCCTGGAGGGTCCCGCACTGCCCCTGGGCAGCTGCCTGCACCGCTCCCTGCCTGTCTCAGGAAGGAGTCGGACAGACACACGGAGAGGATGCTGCGGCTTTATTCAGCCCCAGCCCACACATGGCAAGCCAGACCCCAGGGCACAGAGCCCCTCGGGACACAGACCCCCCAGCACCCAGAGCCCCCCGACCCTGGCCTCAGCAGAGGCGCTGGCGCAGGCACCCCCTCCCCGCTCAGGGCGTCTTGGCTTTCCGGCGCTGGGTGCCCCACAGCAGGAGGGACAGGGACAGGGTGATGGCTCCCAGGATCCCACAGAAAAGCAGCACAGGGAATGTCCCCTGCGAGGAAGCAGCAGTGAGTGGCACTGCCCCCCCCCCCCCCCCCCCCCCCGCCCTGGCCCTGGCTGGGGGCTGCGTGGTGAGGGGGGGACCTGTCCTGTAGGTGCTCACCTCGCGCAGGCACTTGTAGCCATGGAAGGGGCTGTCGCAGAGGCACTGGACGAGGCCAGGGCCATCCGGGGCACAGGCAGCGTTCTCAGGGCACAGCCAGGCTGGCAGAGCAGAGTGGGGGGTCACAGGGCCAGGCCAGGGCCAACCCCCGCCTGCCAGACCCCCAGACAAGGCACCTCCACCCCCCCCGCCATACCGAGCTCCATGGAGCTGTTGCAGAGGTTCCTCTGGCCCTGGCAGAGCCTGCTGCTCCCATGTGTCGTCACCTCCTCCCAGGCACTGCTCCCACCTGGGCACTCCAGCACCAGCGGCACTGCGCTGAGGAGCAGAGCTCAGCACCCGGTGCTGCGGTGGCCCCTGCACCCCATCCCGTCCCCCCCGCCCCAGTACTCACAGGTGCTGCAGGTGGGTGAATCCCAGGAAGGAGCCATTGGGAAGAGGTGTCAGGGGGTTCTCCGTCAGGTCCCTGCAAACACACACCGGGTGCATGGAGCTTCTCAGCAGGGCTGCTCTCAATCCCTACATCACCCAGCCCGTATGGATACTGGGGGTTGCCCTGACCCCGGGGCAGGACCCTGCATTTGGCCTTGTGGAACTTCATGAGGTTCACATGCGCCCACCCCTGGCCTGCCCAGGTCCCTGGGGATGGCATCACCCTTTCCCTCAAGCAAATTAACCGCACTACACAGCTCAGTGTCACCCACCTGCAGACCTGCTGAGGCTGCACTCAGCCCCACAACATCGTTAATAAAGACATGGGACAGTACTGGTCCCCTGAGGGATACCGCTTGTTACTGATCTCCATTTGGACATTGAGCCATTCGTTGACTGCCACTCTGTGGACGCGGCCATCCAACCAATTCCTTATCCATCTAACCGTCCATCTGCCAAACCCATCTCTCTCCAATTTAGCGACAAGGATGTTGTGTGAGACCCTGTCAAAGGCCTTACAGAAGTCAAGACAGATGACATCAGTTGCTCTTCCCTTATCCACCAGCACGGTCCCTCCATGATAGAAGGCCACCAGGTTGGTCCAGCAGGAATTGCCCTTGGTGAAGCCATGCTGGTTGTCACTGATCACCTCCCTGTCACCCACACGCCTTGGCAGAGTTTCCAGGAGGACCTGCTCCATGCTCTGACTGGGCACAGAGGTGAGGCTGCCTGGTCAGTGGTCCCCAGAGTCTCCCCTTTTAGAAATGGGGGTGATGTTTGCCTTTTTCTAGTCACTGGGGACTCCCCCTGACTGCCACCGCTGTTCATACAGCATGGAGAGTGGCTGGTGTCCTGTGGTCAGCAGGCTGCTGGGGGGACGGGGACCAGAGAGGCAGGGCTGCACTGGCCCGGGGACCCATTGGGGCAGGGGGGAGGGTCCCACCAGACCCCTCTCCTTGCTTGGCCCAGCCTCTTGTGGGGAGTGGCGGGGGGGACGGCACGAGGGGGGAACATGGACTCACAGGACAACGGCGGCCGCGGCCTCAGCCAGCCCTGGGGGGAGGCTGCGCAGGGAGCAGTTGCTGAGGTCGAGCCTGTGAGGGGGTAGCAGTCAG